ATGGTGCTGCAGTGAATATAGGAGCACAGGTGTCTTGTACTGATTCCATTTCCTTTGGCGATATATGTGGAACTGGTGTAGCTGAGTCATGTAGTAGCTCTATTTTTAGAGAAATTTCTGAGCTGTTTTCTATAAACGTGCTAGTTCACATTCCCACCAACCATCTGTAAGAATTCCTTCCTCTTCACACGTTTTCCACCTCCAGTATTGGTCTTACCATTAACGTACAACATTTTAGCTAAAAAATTTTGGACCAACATGCAAATATGTACCCATTTTGAAGGGGTACGAAATAGCACATGGACACAGTGTGAACTGATCGAGCAGGCAGCCTTTGTCTGGCTCCTGTGTGCTGCTTACCAGTGCCTTTCCCAGGATCTTCCACGTTTGTACTGCATGGCTGGAAACTTACTTGCTCTGTTTTGTGGAACACAAGCCCTTAATACTTCTGTATTTGGAGGTCCATTATTCAGCTTCCCTCTGTTTTTCTGTCTTTGATAATAGCCATTCTAACTAGCATGAGATAATGTTACATTATGGTTTTGATTTGCATTTATGAACCTGGTGGCTAGTGATGTTAAACATCTTCTCATATGTTTATTGACAATTTGTATTTCTTTTGAGAGGCACCTATTCAGTTTCTTGGCCCATTTCTTTTATTTTTTTTTAAAGATTTATTTTCATTATTTTTATTGGAAAGGCGGATATACAGAGAGGAGATACAGAGAGAGAGGAGATACAGAGAGAGAGGAGATACAGAGAGGAAGATCTTCCGTCCGATGATTCACTCCCCAAGTGAGCCGCAACAGCCGATACTATGCCGATCCGAAGCCAGGAGCCTCTTTTAGGTCTCCCACGTGGGTGCAGGGTCCCAAAGCCTTGGGCCGTCCTCGACTGCCTTCCCGGGCCACAGGCAGGGAGCTGGAAGGGAAGTGGGGCTGCCGGGATTAGAACCGGTGCCCATATGGGATCCCGGGCGTGCAAGGCGAGGACTTAACCACTTGCGCCACTGCGCCGGGCCCGGCCCATTTCTTTTAAATGTCTTGGTTGTTCCTGAGTTCTGATATATATATCCTGGACATAAATCCTTTCTCAGTCGAAAGTTTGCAGCCATTTTCTCTGGGGAATCGCCTTACTGTGGATGGCTTGCTCTACTGTGTAGAAACTTTTTCGTTTGCTATAATCCCATGTTCCTTGGGATTATATTGTATTTTTGATGGGTAATAAAAAAAATTGGGTGGACCAGTGTCTTGAAGTGTTTTCCTTACCCTTTTTTTTTTTTTTAGTAGTTTCAGTGTATGAATTTTTTAAATTGTTACTGGAAAGGCAGATATACAGAGATAAGCAGAGATGAAGGAGAGATCTTCCATTTGCTGGTTCACGCTCCATATGGCTGCAATGGCTGGAGCTAAGCTTATGTGAAACCAGGAGCCACGCCCCTCTTTAAGTCTCCCCTGTGGGTGCAGGGTCGCAAGGCTTTGGGCCATCCCATCCTCTGCTGCACTTCCAGGCCACAAGCAGGGAGTTGAATGGGAAGTGGAGCAGCCAGTACATGAATCAGTATCCATATGAGATGCTGGCATTTGTAGATAGAGGATCAGCCAATTGAGCTATTGTGCCAGCATTTAGGTCTTGGGTCCATTTTGAATAGAATTTTGTACTGAGTGAAAGATGAGAGGGAAGATTCACATTTCCTTAGGCATATGGATAGCAGGTTTCTCAGTGCATTGTTGAGACTTCTCACTGTGGTTTTGGCACTTTGGTGAATCACTTTGCTATAAGTGTGTGAATTCATTTCTGAAATCTATCTTGTTCTGTCTTCTACATGGCATTTAGGGAAGTAACATACTTTGGTACTTCAGCTTTGCTGCCTACAGCTCTGTAGTATGTTTTAAAATAAGATACCATGATGAGGGCCCGGCACAATGGCCTGGTGGCTAAAATCCTTGACCTGAAAGCACCAGGATCCCATATGGGCACTGGTTCTAATCCCGGCAGCCCCACTTCCCATCCAGCTCCCTGCTTGTGTGCTGGAAAGCAGTCAAGGACAGCCCAAAGCCTTGGGATCCTGCACCCGCGTGAGACCTAGAGGCTCTTGGCTCCTGGCTCAGATTGGTTCCTTACCGTCTATTGCAGTCTCTTGGGGAGTGAATCATCAGATGAAAGATCTTCCTCTCTGTGTATCTGACTTTGCAATAAAAATAAATCTTAAAAAAAAAAAATACCATGATGCTTCCAAATTGCTGCTTTCGCTCGTGATTGCTTTTACTATTCATTGTCTTTGGAACTTCCATATGGTTATTAGAATGGTTTGTCTAAGTCTGTAGAGCATTCAATTGGTATTTTGATGGAGATTGAGTGGAACCTGATAAATTGCTTTGGCTAGTGTGTACATTTTATTGTCTTTAAAAGATTTGTTTTATTTACTTGAAAGAGTTGCACAGAAGCAGAGAGGTGTTTTCCATCCACTGGTTAATGTCCCCAAATAGCCACAACAGCTGGGGCTGGGCCAGGCTGAAGCCTGGAGCTTCTTCCAGGTCGCCCATGTGGGTACAGGGCCCCAGGCACATGGGCCATTCTCTTCTTCCCTGGTGCATTAGCAGGGAGCAGGATTAGAAGTGGAACAACTGGGAGTCCCAACGTGCACTAATACAGAATGCCAGCAATACAGGCAACAGCTTAGCCCCTATGTACAGTATAATATTTATTCTTTCAGTTTATGATCATGGGAGGTCTTCTCATATTTTTTCTTGTATTTCCAGTTTCCTTCATTTATACCTAATTTTTGTAGGAGTCTTCCACATGCTTGGTGAGATTTATACCATGTTTTTAGGGGGAGAGTTACTATGAATAGTATTGCTTTCATGCTTTTTAGCAGAGTTGTTACTGGTAAAAATGCTGATTTTCTTTTTTTTTGTATTCTGCAGCTTTACTGAATTTGTCAGTTTTTAAAGACATGGTGAAGTCTCCTGGGTTTTTTTTTTTTTTTTTTTTTCAGTTTAAAAAGTCATCTGCAGAAAATTTGGCTTTCTGCATTATTTAACGTTTATTTTGCCTAATTGCATGGGCTAATTTTTCATGCTACGTTGGATACGAGCTGTGAGAGTGGATATCATTCTGATTCCAGATCTCGGAAACACAATTATCTTCTGCTTTCAGTGTGATGCTGGCTGTGGATTTGCATGGCCTTTATTATGTTGAGGTCTGTTCTTTGTGTAACTTTTTTCTTGTCATGAGTGGATAGTTCATGTTCTCAAATGCTACAACATTAATTACAAGCTTATAAGCTCATTAATTTGTTTTTTAATTTGGTTGCTCTCATCCACTGATTCTTTTCAAACACACCTGTAATAGCTGTAGCTGGGCTGAAAATAGGAAATCATTTCTAGGTCTCCCACAGAAGGGGCAGAATCCTGGAGTTCAGCCAGAGCTGGGTGTAAAACCCAAGAATGCTGACCAAGGCTGTAGGCTGTTAGCTTCTACTGTGAGGTTAGAGCACCTTTGTGCTGCCAAGGGCCTGCAGCTGAACCACCCTCGGGTCTAGGCTCTGGTCTAGACTCAGTGCCTACCCTAGTCATGTTTTTTGGTCTTTTTGTTTGTTTGTTTTAATTTATATGCTTGAAAGACAGATTTATGGAGAGAAGGAGGGGCGGACAGAGATCTTCCATCTGCTAGTTCTCTTCCCAAATGGCTGCAACACCTGCGGCTGGCCAGGCTGAAGCCTGGACCCTGGAACTCCATTTAGGCCTGCTGTGGATGCCGGGGCATCTTTAGTTGCTTTCCCAGATCATTATGGAGCTGGAGCTGTAGCAGCAGGGTTGCCATAGGTGTAGGCTGTACCAATAGGCTACCCCATAACCCCATCCCGATGTTCATCCTTTATTCTGTGATACACTACAATTTCTGATTTGTGTATATTGAGCCAGCTTTGGCTCCCTGAAATAAACACACTTTATCGTAGTAATGGATCTTTTTAATGTGCTGGGGAATTTGTTAATATTGTTGAGAATTTTTGTATTGCTGTTCCTAGGGGAATTGGTATATAGTTTTTCTCTTGTGTCCCTTGTTTTGGGTCAAGGGTAATGCTGATCTTACAGACTGAATTTAGAAGAATTTCTTCCCTTTCAATGTTTTGGGATAGTTTTAAAGTAGTAGTAATAATCATCTTCAAGTTTAATAGAGTTCAGCAGTGATGCTATCTACTTCTTGTTCTTTGTTGGGATATTTTTATGTCATTGTTTAGACTTCTTCGTGCTTTAATTTTGGGGAGTTGTGTCCTGAAGTACATCCATTTCTTCTAGGTTTTCCCGTTAATTGGAGACTTTAATGAGTAAACATATCCAGTAATCTTTTGTATATCTGTGGTATCAATAATAATGGCTTTTGTTGTTGGTGTGTTTGAAGGTCCCCCCCAAAAAACCCGTGAACCCACCATTTCATTGTTCATTGATCCTTTGTATTCCAGGTGTTCAGTTGTTTCTGCTCTGATCTTTGTGAGTTCTTCAGGTGTATTGTAGGATTCTTCATTGAATCTAAGTGCTTATGCTGTAGACTCTTACTACTGTTGTTGATTTTCCTGTTTTGGTATATTGTTTTTCCATTTTTGTTACAAGGAATTTTTAAATATCCATCCTTTTTTCTCTTTATAGTGTCCCATTGTTTACTCAGAAGTAGGTTTAGTCTCCATGAATTTGTTTCATGTTACTAAAATTTCCAAAATTTCTTGTTTTTTTTTTATACCATTTGGGTCAGAAGAGATCAAATAGGATTCCTATGGGTTTTGAGGGTTTTTTGTTTCTTGGTCCGTATATATGATCTGTCCTATGGAATGTGCAGTGTGCTGTTTAATGTCTGGTAAGAGCCATTTGAGTGGTGTGTAGTTTAAAGGATGTTTCTGTGATGTTGCTTTTTGTTTGGGTTTATGAGCCTGGGTCAGAATGAGGTGTTAGTCTCCTGTGGTTTATTAGACCTCTTCCCCCTTTGGTTTACAGAATCACACACTCACCATTAGGTGCATATACATTTATTTATAACTGTTATATATCTTGATGAATTGATCCTTATTTAGTGATCCTGTCTTAATAGTTTTGCCTTGAAGTTTGTCTTAGCTACTGTTCCTTGTTTGGTTTTCATTTGCATGGAATTTGATTGTCTTTTTCCTGAAGTCAGTCTGGATAGCATTGGGAGATTTAATCCATTTACATTTGTTTGTCATTGACAAGTAATGACTCAGGAATGCCTTTTATTTTGAAAATCCTTTTCTTTTTTGGCTCAGTTTTGGTTTACCCCGCTATGGCACATGTCTCCGCCTGATGCTGGGCTGAGTCTATAGGCTGCATCTCAGCACTGGTTGGGGTGGAGGCCTGTGGGCTTTGCCAGTCGCTGGCCTTCACCTGGAAGGCCTGGTACTGAGCTGCCCTTCTCATTTCCTTCCTAGCAGTGGAGTCCTGGCCCACTGTCGCCTGGAGGTTGGTATACATGGCAGACCTGGCTAGAAAGGGGAGAGAGGTCATGGGGGGGTCTGTCTGGCTCCAGGTTTCACTGAGCAGGACTGGTATGAGGTTTCAAGTCGCGAGTCTGGATTTAATCTGTTCTCCCTCCCTCAGGTGAGGTGTTTCTCTGCTGTGCCCTTGGAGCTGGGAGAGGTTAGGCAGCTTGTTCCTCCCCCTTGCACGTGTCCTGCTGTGCCGACATCAGGCACTGTGGTCTCTGCAGGCTGCGATAGCTCTTGTCAGTGCATGAGGAACTCCTGCTAGTGTCTCATTCAGCTGCTGTCTTGCTCTGCTCCCAGCTTAAGTATTAAGTTGTCTCTTATGTAACCTGTATTAAATTGAGGTATCAATGAGATTGCATTTTTTAAAACCCCTGATAACTCAAGGATGCTTTTTATTTAAACATTCTTCATATTAACAGTTCTTAGAAGCAGTATGCAAAATTACCATAAAAGATAAAAATACATATTTACATTCTTAAAAATAGTCTGGAAATTGATAAGCTGTTACGTCCCTATGTGAGTCAGTGTCATGTTTACTTAACCTCAGTGATCTCTTCAACATTCTGTTTCAGTAAGTTACATAATGACATCTTAGGCCCAACAACATGTGACGGTTAAGCTAAAGATCAGTGGACATTTTCTTGGCATTTCACCAAGTTATAGCCCCACGTGTGGATGTAATAGAGCATGCTTTGATTTTAAGATTTCTGGTGACCTGGGCATTTGAGCCAGGTCCATCCTTAGATACTGGGAATATTTGGTGCCTTACCAAGTCTGTCCAGCAGAATGACCTGTGGACTGGTCTTTGTTGGCACTCATGCTGAAGTTCTTGATTCCCCCTGCAGTGCATCAGGGGGATCCTCGGAAGCTTGATAGGTTCACTCTGAGCTTGCCTAGTAAAACTGGAAAAACTTTTCTTCCAAAATGCATCAGGAGTGTTATCAGACTTGAAAATCTCAGTAATTAGCAGACTCTAAAGCCAAAATATATGTAGCTAAGAGTTACCATTACATCTAAGAGTTAACAGTGTTAAAGAATCTAAACCTCTCCAGCACTGAGGGTTGTCAGGCAGAGGCTATGTCTCTGTCCCCACCCAGATGTAATCTGGAATGAAATTAACTGATATTTCCTTTCTAACTTCTGACGACATTTTACTTTATAGAGTGGTTGGATCCAAGTTATAGTGGAAAGTTTTACACATGGCATTATAGAACAAAAAGGAATGCATTTCAGTGTGTAGTTGGAATGTAACAGGATTCTGTACATTATTCCCATTTTGGAAGAGAAGCAGTTTTTGTTACTCCACTTCTTCCCCACTGTCCAAGCTTGGTGCGCACACTGGCTGCAGTACACAAGCAGGAAGCCAGGCCTCGGTCTCACGGGAACCCTTTCCTCAGGGCTTTATTTTTCACCATGGAAAATTTACTTATGAAGACCTGAGCAAAATGTGGATCCACCAAGTAGTGGTATGTCTTCACCGTGGAGGGAGGGGGTTCCACAGCCACCACAGGGCAAGGTGTTTGGGTGGAGGAGCAGCTGGGGGCCAGGTGACAGGCCGTTGCGGTGACGTAGTCCACAAGCCTGTTGTACTGTTGTTCTGACAGTCTCTCTCGCGCTCCATCCACCTAGAACCCCAAAAGAGATTGTCACTTGCCAAATCCTGTCAGTGAGACTTCCACAGCTGAGTGCTTGTCTTGTGCCGTGAGGTCATTTTATCAAAATGGCTTCCTGTTTCTACTGTGGTGTGCCAACAGGACAGCCTGTCTTAGGGTAAGCGTCATTGGGGCATAGCATATGGTTGTTTAAGTTAACCATCTTATTGCAGGGCATTCTTTCAGTAACCATTCAAGCACCTGCCTGCCAGTGCCCTTTACTGGGAATAAACGGAAGAGGCCTTTCCTCTGCCTAAATCTAACCAGCATTAAACTTGGCACCTGAAACCTGAACCTCTTAGGTAAAAAAAAAAAATTATCTCACCTCCCCACTCCCTTCGCCCCTCCCCCCCAAACAGTGAACGAGCACTCCTTTAAGAGTGGCTTTGGACACAGCAGAGAGAGAAATACCTTTCAAACTGTAACATTTTGTTTTTATAAATACCAGGGTTTAAAGCCAGAGAAAATAGAAAAACTGGGCAGAGGAAGGGGAAATTTTTATGGAAAAGGGGAGGATACAAAGTACATTTATGGTTCATAAAAGTCTGGCTCATCTTCAGTGGAACTTGAACAGGAGAGTTGAGATATACTACCTCAGCGCTTAAGTGAGATTTTCTGAGAAAGTACCCATCAAAGGCGGCTGGAGCTATAAATCCCTCGCACACAGGTCCTGCAGCGATCTCGTGTGGAGATCAAGTGGAGCAGCGAGCGCGCCCCTGGTGGGGACAGGCAGCCAGCCGCTGGCCTTCCTGTGGCTCTTACCTGGGAACGCTGGCGGACCGCAGCGCCTGAACTGTAAACATTTAACAAGGGCTCTTAAGTACGCTAAGTAGTGGTGATGTAAAGAACTGCTGTGCTTTGGCGGTGTAGGGCTGCGGAACTGCTGCCGAGCGGCAGCGAGACGGGAACGGGGCCTGTCGGAGCAGGACAGGCGGCACCCGTTAGTTTGGGTCGCCTGCTTTTCAGCTTGGAAAGAAAAGGCCCCTAAAGATGCACTGACAGATGAAAGCTGTGCACCAGCGGGAGCACTGATGGTATCACTGAGGGGGCCAGGATTCAGCTGGAAGCTTTGAATACACAGTCTTAATTGCTCCTCCTGAACAGCAGCACAGGAAAACCCGTGTTGTGAAAGGAACCTGGCCAAGGAATAAATTGACCTTCTGACTCATTTTGAGCTTCTCAGAAGGGATTTCAGTAACGTGCCAGGCATATTAAGCAATTATGACCCCTAAAAATGGCTGCATTTAAGCAAGAAAAGCAAATGTGGATTTTTAAAAGCTGAATCCTGCCATATTTGAATACACAGAATGATGTCAACTACAAATTAATTCCTTCCAAAATTGAAAGGAGCTGTGTTTCCTAGCATCTAAGGCAAAAGCAGAAAGTCACAAGAGCCACTTCACGTCAAGGTCCTCGTCACACCTTTGGGCATTGCAGTGCAGTGGTGTGAGCGGGGCAGCGTCCCCCACATCAACAGTGCATCAGAGCAGCCTCAGGGCTCTGTCAAACCAGAAACCCAGGCAGCTTGATGCTGAGGGAGCGGGGCTGCAGGTCACACTGGGGCCAGGGGTTGTGAGCTGAGGAGAGGGCACAGAGTGTAGACAGTGCGGGGGCCAGAGGTCCCCAGTGCTCGGGGTTGGTCATCGGGTGGGCTGTCCTGCCTGCTGCCAGCCATGCTGGCCCCTTCAGCCTGGTCTCATGGTCTGTACCCCTGACCACCGCAGCCATCATCCCTGAGACACCTCCCCACCTCGAGAAAGCCCTACCAGGCCTGTCCTTGGACACGTGAGAGATCACAGCAGAGACAGGAAGTCTTCCAGAAGAGGAACAGCCCATCTGGACTGTTGTAAGATGGGAGCGATTAGCCACGCAGCGCAGGAGCAAGCGAAGGACCCAGGGCAGTCACAGCGACTGTTAGGGCCTTGGAGGCGGACTCTCCTTGTTAGGGACTGAGGACCTGCCAGGTCAGCTCTGCTCTCCTGTCAACTGGATCAGAGGCTGTGGCAGATGCAGTAAAGCAGCCTGGACATCTGACCTCTGTTTATTCCCAGCAAGTCATCAACTGGCAGCAGCGGCAGAGTCCTGGTGCCAAGCCCCAGCTGAAAGCCTGACTGATTGTGAGCCAAGAAACTAGAGAAATCGTACAGGGTTGTTGTCCTTGGCTGCTTTCCACCTCCTCAGATAATTTTACCCAAACAGGGGTGTGAGGGAGACACAAGCTCCCATATCAGGAAGAAAATAATGAAAGGAGGAATTGAGCTGGGCCTGCTGGGGGGCAGATTCACTCAGCCGTTGGACCGGGAGAGGGCCCTTGTCTCCTAGGTCACTGGCAGGCCCCAGGGGCCAGGCCATTCCCGGTGAGGCACGAGCCCAGAGCACCTGCTTCCCCTGGGTTGGACTTCTTGGGACAGGGCTCGCTTCTTACCCCCAACACTTCAATGAGAGCACCCCTTCCTTGTCTACTTCTGGTGACCACCGTGGGGATGGGGAATTATCTGACGGAAAAGGGGAGACGGCTGCAGAAGGTGGGGGCACCCCAAAGGCTCTGGATGGAGTGGTCACCGAGCTGGACTCCTGCGTGGCCCAGGCCTCCAGGGAGTGTCGCCTGGGATCACTGGTGTTGTCCTGGCTGGCACGTAACCCCTCACTCTGAAGCTCCACCCAGATCACCTGTGACAGCATCCTGCCTTCCACCAGCCAAACTCTGGCTAAGTCATGAGTTTCTACAGAGTCCCTCTGCCCTGGCAACAACGCACGCTCCCACCCTCCTATGTCCAGCAGCTCCTCAGTGCCAGGGTGCCTGCCCCATTGGCAGCCTGCCCCTATCGCGCTGTTGGCGGGAACGCACCTCTATATCGCAGGCCACTCTGGGCTGTTTGAGCTGCACGGTGAGCAGGTGGGACTGCTGGCTGTCCTGTGCGCAGCTGATCTCGGTAACGGGGAAGGCCTGCTGCTGTGTGTCCTCGCTGGCGCTCACCACAAAGAGCACTTCTGATGTCAGCAGCAAGCAGCCCTCATGCTCCTGGCCAGAGCCCCGCACCAGAAGCACGTCCAGGGCCATGTGGACCTCCGGTCTGCCCAGAGACTGAAGCATCTTCCTGTTGAAGCAGAGAAGAGACCAGGAGCTTAGAGCTCACTGTCCCCAGGGCTGGCCCGCATCCCCCCCATGGTCCCCCAACAGAGAACCAGGGGTCTTCACTCTGATTGCCAACTTCAGGTGGAGTTGCAGATTCTTCCTGGGGACAAAGATTTCCTTTGTCCCAGCTCCCCTCTTTCCCCCGCCCCCAATTAAAACGCTGGTCCCGGGGGGGGGTTGCAGTCCCGGGGGCTGGGCGGTGGGGAGCAGAGCTCTGCCTGGCCCTCGGATGCTTTTGTGCTTCCAAGATGCCAGAGCCCAAACTGGCAAACCACACTGGGAGTGTGACCCATGTGCTCGACGGCCGGCCAGGAGCACCAGCCCGTAACATGGCTGTAAAGCTGAGCCAGTGCCTCAACGATTTTACCAGACATATTTGACGTGACCGTTGGGGGCCTGGTCGGCCTGTAGGTCGTGTGGCTGACAGCGCTGCTTGGGAAGCTGAGAAAGTCCGGCTCCATGTAAGATACCTGTGTTGAAAGAAGCAAGAGGCTTTTACTCATCCTTTTCTGGAAAACAGTTCTGTGCTACAGTGATGTCATCTGCTTGGAGCCACCCATAAATGCTGCAGACCTGAAATGTCACACCTTTGAAAGCAAGGGAACTGATATTGACGATCATTAGGCCGAACAGTGCTCTTGTCCCCGCTGACCTGACCTGGTGGCAAGCTGCAGTTAGATGAATGTGCCCAGTCCAAGCACACAGCGGCACTTGGGGCAAGCGGCTGGGTGCAGCAACTCACACAGCACTTTGCATTTTTATGCGAGGTACTTACTGATGTCTTTGCTGAATATTCTGATGCTTCCTGATTGGATCTGTGCTAGAGCTGGTCAGAGACTAAAACACAACCCATACATAGGCACCCAGCTTTCCTAGCTACACCACTTAAGTGACAACACAGCTCTGAAGCACCCCGCCACATCCATTTATGCGTGCTCATGGATTCTGACTGGCTTTGTGCGGTCCCTTGGGCCAGTCCCAAAGGCGGGCACCCAGCAGCAACCACGGGCCCCCAAAGAGCCTCCAGAGCCAGAGATGGCCCAGGCCGTGTGCTTTCTGAGGCCTTGTAAATGTTTATGAACGAGGCAGAGTCATTAGACTAAGAGTTAGTGGTTTGTAAAACCTTCAGTGCAGTCATAAAAGTTTTACAAGAGTGATGGAAACCCAAAAGGCCATGTGAAGCCCTGCTCTGAGATGCTCTTACATAAGCGAGGGGCACCCGGGAGGGGCGGGACATTTTCGAAGCCAAGAGAATTTATGAAGGACCCGCTGCCTGCCACTGCTGGGCCCATGGGCAAGAGCAGCCTGGGATTCCACAGCGTGTGTGTGTGAGGGAGGCCTCAGCTTCTCCTCGGTGCAGCTCAGGGGCACTGGGGCAGGAGGCCCCCATGCTTGTGCCTGGGTGAGCTCTTCAGGGCTGCTTCTGGGGGTGCTGCACGCAGACCCTGTGTATGCCCACACCAAGTGCCCAGTGCCTGACCAGCAGGGGAGCTGTCCTGAGGTATCTGACACTGTTTGGTGGCCAGCTCCATACCCCAGTGGTGACAGGTCACAGTTTTAGTCATGTGGTCCCCATGGACTGCTCTGCCCCCCTCCAAGAAGGTGAAGAATCCACATCAGTCCCTCACAGGCTACTTCCTGTCGGTCTGTCCCCCCAAGTTTCTCCTGGGGAACAAGAGGAACTCCTTGTTTTGCCCCTGTGTCCTTCACTGCCCTCTGACACCTGTCATACCACAGATTAGATTCTGGGAGATTCCTCTTCCATTTCTCTGGCTCAGCCTGTTGTTGATCAGGAGTGCAGTTCTACCCTGAAGCGAGACAGTGTTATCACCTTGTCACTGCGTGCGGGTCGGATAGGCTGGCTGGCCACCAACTTACCATAGCCAGTCCGGGACACGAGCTCGGCCGCTCCACCGATGGGCTTGGTGAACACCCCCATGATCCCCTTGCCCATGCCCGAGATGACACCCTTGGCTCTGTGGCCTGCCGAGGCGTGGGCTTCCGCTGTCCTCTGGAAGTTCTGCATCGGCTGGTCAACAATGCCTGCGATCGCCCCTGCAACCACAAAAGCCACAGTGAGTGCATGAGTGCCATGTGCCACGTACGGCATGTTGCCCTCCAGCCTCATGACTGGTTCTTCACTATCCGAGAGGCCAACCTACCAGGGGCTGCTCTCGTCAGGTGTTTGTTGCCTTCGTCGAGACCATGTTGAGACTGAGTTTGGTCTACCTGGTCAGGGTTTGTGACAGGGTGACTGACCAGAGCCAGCAAGCATGGCAGAGGTGGCCAGGGAGCAGCGGCCCTGCCTTCTGTGGTCTGCCACAGGGGGACGCAGACTTCCTGGGCTTCTGGAAGTTCTACGTGAGTCCAGCCCTACTGACGCCTCCCGCCCTGAATTGGGAAGTTACTCTCATCCACTGACTTGCTCTAAGGGGCTCCTGCTGGCGGCAGTTCCCCGGCTGGCCAGCCACATGTGGGTGACTATGAGGTGCTGGGGGAGGTGTGAGACACAAGACAGCCGTCTCCCAGGCCTCTGAATGGGGGACAGGCACCCTGTCACCTGAGACGTGCTGGTGCCCCAGGTGAGTGCTCCCCACGCTAGACGCAAATGGTATGCTTAGAGTGTGTACCCCGTTTCCTGCCAAGTCACCCTTGAAGATAAGTGCTGGAAAGGCGGCCCCTTGGTCTGGTCCTCCTCATGCCAGAGGCTCTGCAGGGTGGGTGGCCTCTGGGGACAGGGCAATGCCCTCTGCCCTGGTGCCCTACATGTTCAAAAGAGGAACTGGGGCGCAGTGGGAATGCAGAAGGAGCTAGAACAGGCTCCAGGGCGCAGTGGAGTGTGGGTGTCTTGGGGAAAAGGATTTGGTCAGTGTGGGCAGGGCTGATGCCAGTTCTGCAGGCAAAATTGCGTTTTTACAAAGCCATTACTTTTGGAAAAACTGTTGTGGGCTCATTCAAAAGCCTCAGACGCCCCTGGAGGCCAGTAGTCAGGTTCCTTGCCGCCCTGAGGCCCTGTGGTGGCTGCCCGTTCAAGCGGCCTCGCATCCCACAGTGTCCCATAAACGCCTGTGGGAAATGTGTCCTCTGCAGTCCACTTCCCCAGGCAGGGGTGAGGGTGGGAACACGTGGAGAGGGCCCTCCAGCGCTGGGCACAGCAGTGACACTCCCCTCTCTGTTCCAGCGAGCACAGTCCCGTTAGATGACATGTGTGAGAGCTCTTGGCCAGCCCCTGCCTGCGCTGTGAACACTTCACTCCCGGCGCCCTCAGTGTTTCTGTCCTGCAGAGGAAGGCACTGAGCACCCGGAGTCCTGCTCCCGGGCCTGGCTTCCATGCTGCTGCAGACAGCAGCTCCCACTCCACACTGTCCTAAGTGACACGTCTCAGCCGTGGCCCCTCCACACCCTTCCCTGCACCTGGCAGGTCTGGAAAAGCCCAGAGATGAGCGTGACACGGACAGGCTCTTGACCTAGATGCAAGAGAGGCAGAGACAGAAGATCTGAGAGAACTGGGAGGGCTCCAGAAAAGGGGGCACTGCCTGACAGGTGAGCAAGGCCAGGAACTGTGTGCCCAGGGTCCCTGGACTGGCAGGTGCAGCTGCCCTAGACACACCAGGGTGGGACTGACATTACTCCCAGCACAGACAGGTTTCTGGAAGGTGGCAATGTATGGCAGGTACCACTGGAAGTTTCCATAGACAGACTAGATGATGCCCATTGTGTACAAGGTTTTAAGTGGCATGGGGTAGATCAGAACTTGGTGGTTCTCTTAACCTGCCAACAGGAGCCAAGGAGATATCAGAGGCTGGCACTGTGGCCACCTGCATCCCATATGGCTGCTGGTTCATGTCCTGGCTGCTCTACTCCCAGTCTAGCTCCAGGCTAGCACGCCTGGGAAAGTAGTGGAAGACGGTGCAAGCTCATGGCTCCTGGCTTCTTTCTGGCCCAGCTCCCACAGTTGTAACCTTCCGGGGAGTGACCCAGTGGATGGAAGACCTCTCTCTCTTTCTCTCTGTAATTCTCTCTTCCAAGGAGAATAAATGAAGTTTTTACAAAGGCAACAGTGACTTCAGCAGGGCAGACTCCCTGTTCCTAACATAACCAATGGCCACCATCAGTTTGCCATGGCTGGGGCTTTGCTGGGTGGGAAGAGCACCGAGCCCTGGGGCTAGAAGGAATCACAGTGTCAAGGTGGAGCCAGCCGCAGCCAGCCAGTTCAGGGTGAAAGAAGATCCCAGAGTCCCCAGTGACCCTGGAGAGGACCCCCGCCGCTGCTTCTGGCTCCAGCAATTCACTCCCTTGAACTAGGCTTGAGCAAAGTGCGTCTGCCACTCACTCAAGGGGCTGGTTTGGCCGGGACATCAGAGGTGCAGTGCTGGTGCTAGCAGCTCCAAATAACAATAGAAACTCATGCCAGAAGGTAAGGTGTTGTCGGAAGCTGCTAAGACAAGCGGTGGATACCTAGCGGTGGGCACTGGGCCTCCTGAGGGTCAGAAAGTGCCCCCTGTGCCACACCACCTTCTCCAAAGGAGGCACCAACACCCCAGGTGGTGGCCTAGGTACCAGGAGTGGGTGTGGCCCAGCGCTCAGCCCAGAGCACGTTCCTCACTGCTTCAGGCAGCTCCAGTCACTTAACCTGAACTTGTAACGTTTTACTGCTTCCTCCCAGAGCCTGAGCTGGCCACGGCCAAGTGCCAGAGTCCGGAGTAGGGAACCCAAGATGGGAGAAGGGACACGGCCTCTCGCTCTTCTCCTTTCCGCCCTCGAGCTGCCCAGGGCCACTTTGATCTCGGCCAGGCGCTCGCTCAGATACGCAATGGGCTGGGCGCCAAGCCATACAGTTTTAAGTTCCTTTGCAAGCAAATAAACAAAACTGCCCTTGAAAATCCTGCTCTGTAAACTCTCAGCACTGCAGCTTCCTTTTTATAGGTTTTTCCAAAGTGCCCTATTTTCAAACATTAGTTCTGTTCTCACAGAGCCTTGGCCATCTTCACCTCTCAGTGGGCCTGCTGGCCACACTGCTAACTGTGCCTGCGCGGAGCCAGGCTGAGCAGGGCAGGGACTCAGAGAGAGGCAGCGAGTGGCAGCTGGCAGCCCACTGCAGCTGGCACGGCACGCTCCAAACTCCTTGCAGGGTCTCCGCAGGGCAGTGCGGCAGTTCCTGTCCCAGGAGGCAGCCAGAGACTGCCCTGTCCCTTTGGCGACCCACACCGAAGCCCCCTTGCTGCATTCTGGTGCAGAGGCAACAAGGCAGGGCCTGGGCTGGCTCTAGGAACAAGCTCCCTGGCGCTCTGAACCCAGCGAGCGCCTCATCCTCGTAGTCTCAACTTTGCCCTGCAGAGCCAGGGTTCACCTCTCCTGCCAGCCCTCCCCAGGGCCTATGATGCCATGCCCGACTCTTACCCAGCAAACTGATGCCCAGCCGGGACAGGCCCTGCCGCAGCCCCTCGCCCAGGCTCTCCGGGAGCTGCCGCCGCCACTCCTCCTGTCGGTTGTAGTGTTCCTCGTCCAGCGAGAGGCGGTCCATGTTGCGGGCCAAACTGGTGGCCAGGTTGGTGATGGACGTGAGGGTCCCTAAGGGCACAAGAACACATGACTGGCCTCTGAGTTACACCTGGGAGGGGCGATGGCAGGAGTGTGGGGGCCCTGCACCCCCTCAACTGTGGAGTAAGTGAGCTGGGAGCAGGGTGGGGGAGGGGGAGAGCGTCTGTTGTCTCCCGGGGGCCAGGTGTTGCACACTCTTTCCTACCATGTGACTGCCCAGGCTTGGGCTAAGCAGTTTCAGTGTCCTCACTGAGGCTGGTTAAAACAAACAAAAAAGGGCTTGCCATGCTACCTGGAGACACAGAAAGGGTGTGGTGTTCCTACCTGCTGGCTCACCCTAAAATGCCTGCTGATGCTGGCAGGCCAGGCATGCACTCCAGGTCTCCTGTGCAAGTGGCGGGGCCCTGGGTCTCTAAACTGGTACGGGTGCCCGCTGGGAGGAGTGTCAGCTGACAGGTGTGGGCCAGCAGGAGTGAGCTGTGACACCTTGGCTCCAAGGCTCAGCGACCACTCCCTGGGGCCAGGTTTCTGAAAAGCAGGACTGACTTTCCCCTTCAGCAATCAGTTCTTCCCTCCTTACTGCTTCAGCCATAACACTTCCTCAACTTGACAACTCGCAGGGAGGGACTGTGCCACAGACAATCTGGGCAACAGTGATGCTTGGGGGGCCGGGGGAGGGGGACACAACAAAGGGAATGGGTCAGAGGAAGCCACGCCGCCCTCTGGTGGTCCTAAGAAAAGTTCTTTTCTGCACTTTGCTCAGAGCGGTCCTGGTCCCCATCCCCAAACACCCCCCCCAACTCAGCCAAACCAGACACTGGCAGGCACAGCCTGAGGCCCACGGCCCTGCTCATCTGCTGTCAGATCTGCAGCTTCAGCAGTAAGTGGCAGAGGTTACTGTCACAAACACATCTTTACCAATGATCACACACGTAAGACCAAATTGATTTTGCTAAGAAAGCTGAGACCAAGCGGAGAAAGCACTCCGTGAGCCAGTGTGCTAGCACTATTGCTGAGGTTTCACTTAGCAGGTATTGGTCATCTGACTTGAACATGCAAACAGCAGAGCCCTGGAGCAGCCCGGAGTGACTCACTGGTCGGCTCTGTGGCCCACTCTCGGGCCTCCCCATGACTTGAGGCCTGGGGGAGTGGTTCCTTTCATTGTCCATGCAATCTGTTTTTCTTCCTCTTGCTGTTCTCCTGCCAACCCCCCACCCGGAGGCTCTGGCCCCCCTGCAAGGATCACAGATTCTCATATTTCAAACCCAAATTTTCTTCCAAGGCCTTCTGGAGACTTCCGCAACCTGCCCCCTTACAATGGAGTGGCAGTGCTGTCTACGGTCAGATGCCTTTTATGGGGAAGAAGAGGCCTCGGCCTGCCCCCCGCTGAGAAGAAAAGGGGGCTCACATGGCCCTCGTTAGCTCCCCAGCCACTGCCAACCTGCCCCAAATATCGTCAGGCAAAATGCACGCGGCTCAGGCTCCAAGATTCCTGTGGGCAGCTGTGTGGCGTTGGTGCCCAGTGCCCCTCAGCAGCCACCAGATGGCACTGTTGACACGGCTTGTCAGGAGAGCGGGCTGTCCCCCTCCCAGTCCCTGTCACCGTGAGTCCTCATCCTTACCAAAGTTATGACAACTGTGTCTACATTAAAAAAAAAAATGCAATGAGGCAACGTGGTGTAGGATTTCTGATGTTTAGCAGAAATCTCGAACACCTTTAGTTTTTCTGTGTTTATCCCATGAAATAACAGTCGAGCCAATCCTCGTTTTCCCAATGGGAGGTTTAAAATGCTGAAGTTCCTGAAACATTTTCGCACACTGCAGGCAAGCAGTGATCTGTTTAAAACATAAGACACTGTATATGAGCTTTGTTATGGATCCAAGGCTTCAGTGTGCCAAGGAGCCGGGCCAGAGGCAGGCTGAAGGCATTCCCAAGCAGCACACTCGGGCGAAGGTGGGCAGGGCAGGTGGCAGCACAGTGGGTGAGCAAGGAGCTACCTTTGGAAATGTGCTTCACAAATGACGTGGTTCCTCTGGATACTCCGCTCACGAAGGCGCCGGGGCCCCGGGTGAGCCCCTCGTAGGGGAGCCGGAAGAAGTCAGCGACGCCATTGCCGATGCTGCGTACGAGGCTGGCAGGGCTGCCCAGGATCTCCAGGGACCCCACCACCCAGCCTGTGGGGAGGAAGGAAGGCAGGGGTTACGGCACTTCCCACGTGGGAGCTGGCGGGTCCTGGCGGTTCCTTTCCTCCACAGCTTGGTTTTCACACTGGACTTGAAAAACAACGGAATAAGCTTTTCTGGAGCAAGTGATGGCAACCCATTCATTGAGAATGCAAACAGCAGACCTTCATTCTGCCTGCCACTGACCCTATGGTGCTCACAGATGGCTTCAGGATGACTTACTGGCCTGAGCCTCCCAGGTGCCCATGGCCTCCTGCCAGGTCATGGCATCCCGGGTGGCAGGTGTCTGTGGGCAGGGGAAGCGCTGGCCGTCACCTCTGCAGGGCCATGGGGCCACCAGGCATGGGAGGAGGCACCTGGGCCGGAAGGACAGGCCAGATGCTAAGTGGGGCGTTGCAAAGGGGAAGCCAGCTTCTGCCAAGGATGGGGGTGTTATTTTTAACCTTTCCCGATCCTACCAAGCTGAGTGCTTCCCTTTGGAACACAGCTAGAGCCAGACAAATGTCTCCCCTTCAGCCCTGGATTCAGGCTTCAGTTGTGTAAACAGCAGTGACAGGGAGGGGTGTGTTCCGTGGGAATGTCCCAGGAGGGAAGCCTTGCACTTGGCTTCCTATGGGAGCCTGGGCTTGCCAGGAACCCGCGTGCGCCACAGCCGGACTGCTGCCTTGTGGGAACAAGTCTGGGGGTGCAGTGGCTGCCTGGAGCCTCCCCAGATGGTGTGGAGACTGGGGCTGCCGGCTCAGGGGGCTGGCAGCAGTGGGCAAGGCCAGGGGCCACTGAGAGAAGGGAGTGGAAGGGGCAGTTTCCTTCAGAAATCCACTAGCCTCCCTGCCGATGGATGGGATGACCTCCAGGGAGCTGGGACCTGTGTGGGAGCGCTTCCCCCAGCAGCAGGTCCCCGGGGAAGCCCCTGGCCTGGAGGATGCACAGGGTGTGGGCTGGAGCCACGGCAGGCTCTTGCTCTGAGCCCTCCTCCTTCTCAGCAACACTGGGAAGACAGCGCCAGGGCTTGGGTCAAAGGAGGGGTCTTTTCCAGAAGGCGGAGAGTGCTATGGGAGGCCCTCTGAGGCAGGCTGCTGAGTTCCGTGATGGCCACAGCAGCTCCACAAGAGAAAGGGGCATCTCCGTTCAACCAGCTGCAGGGCTGCAGGGCTGCAGGGTTGCCGACGAGCCCCGGCTGCTGCTCAGGGCCGGGGACGGTGCCTGGTGTGGGAGCAGAGGCACAGCCAACCCCAGCTGTCTTCCTGGTTCCACAGGCACGAGGGCAGAGGAGAGCCTGGAAGCTCTGGGATGAGTGTGGCATCTGAGCCACCCAGAAAGGGCAGGAAGTATAGAGATCCTTCTCTTCTAGTTATTTCCACCAAAAACCAAATGCATGTGTGCCTGCATAGCTGTGGGGAACTGACTTCACGATGCCTAATGGACGCTCCAGTCCCTCAGGGAGAGTATCTGTGTATAGCATCTATAATCCTCCACATATTTTAAATTAAATTAATGTCATATAAACGGTTGTCTTGTATTGCTTAGTGGGCAATGACAAAGTCTGAACATTTTCGGTGAGACTGCATTGGTAGGTGGGACTATTTTGCGTTCACGGCTGGTTGAATCCATGGATGTGGAGCCCACGGGTGTGGAGGCTGACCGTGTCAACCTTCAGCTTACATATTTGCAATTAAAAAAAAAAAAAAAAAACGGAGTCTGCCTGGCTTCCCATCAAGCTGAGACTTGGGGTTGGAGAGGGACTCAGGAAAATATGTCGCCCACATTTCTCCCTTCCCAGGGGGCTGGTTCCCCATTCCTCACTACTATTTATTTATCTTTACGCTCCCTTCCGATGACTGCACGAGCTTCCCCAGCAGTGAGGTCAGGGTGTTTCAGCGCTGGCAGCTGGGACGCTTCTAGCATCTGATGGCTGGATGCAGACCCGGGGGGGGGGAGGGGATGAGGCGGGGGGGCCTGCTAACTCCCAGGTGCCCCTTCTGCAGGGGTCCTCGCCCCACCATCCCTCCCTACCTGGGGAGCTCTGGCAGGCGTCCAGTGCTCACTCCCCCCCTGCTGTCTTGGAGCTCATCTTCCGATTGTCCACTGACTGGAGTTTCTGATGAGCTCGGAAAACTTGAGCTCTACCTTAGAACTCCTTGTCTCCGTAACACCATGAGCTTGAGACAGAATTTTTAGGTGATGAAACAAAAATCCCAACAACAACCCAATGGAATCTCCTGTGGAAACACCTTAAAAACACTAACCAAAGAGATCGTGCAGGCATGCCGGGGGCTCAGGAACCTGCAGTGGCCCCTTCTCGTGTTAAAACAAAAGGGCTGCCTGAAGGAGTAAGTTTCTGGGATGGCATGTAAGTATACCCGTTTGTGAAGTTTGAAATGTTAACTGCTGATTTCTTCGCAAGACGGAAATGCTCTCTGTGCTGTGGGGGAGGCCCTGCCCCCAGCAGGCCTGGCCGGGCTCTCTCCTTGGTCTTGTTCTCTTTCATAACGGTACTGGATGGCCATGTTGACGGTGTGTGCTTCATTCTGGGGCAAGCCTAACGCCTAACCACCGATAGGGCAGGGTTCCTGGTGCCTTTCCCGCAGCTACCAGCACCTGACCAGGGGTGACATGTGGAGGACAGAGCACAGGGTGTTTCCTCTGTAGCACTCAGGAAGGAAGATTGCTGTGGTACTTCCTGGAGAGGGCTGGCTAGACCCAAGCTGTGTGTGGGGCGGAGGGCAGGGGGCTCTGTTTCAGTTCTTGCCAACCACAGGAAGCTGGGTCACTGATCTGAGCCTGCTCTAGCATGGTTCTGCCTTGAGGCCTGCAGCTCGGGCGCCCATTGGTGGAAATGATTGAGACCACACGGTCCCTGGCCCTCAATTGCAGTGCACAGTACTCCCCATACAGCACTGTGGATGCATAGGAAACTGTCCTGTGCAGGTGCCTTGCGCCACACTAAGAAAGGAAGCCCAGGCCTTGAGACACAACCTGCTCGGTGCGGGCGGCCACCTGCCCGGCCCAAGGGCCCTTCATCCTCCGCCATCTCCAGTCTGTGCAGAGGCCGAGACACCCACCGGCTGCTCTCTGCTGGCTGGCTGGCGGGGTAGGCAGAGGGCTCTTTGTGCATCTTGTGAGCACACAAATCCTCCACATTCCTCACCTCCAGCTATTCATGAACAACAAGGAAGAAGGGAGGCTAACAAGCTGCAACTGGAGTTCTTTTAAGCCTGGGGAACACAGGGCCTGGGCTAGGTTTTCTGGCTGTGCTAGGATGCTAAGAAAGGGCCTCTTTGCCTGCAAGGGGCTAAAAAAGCATTTGCTTCACGGAATTAAATCCCAGAGTTATATAACAGCTAATATCACAGCCCCTCTTACTGGCATGTTCATTAAGAGCCAAGCAAAATGTTGGGCACTTGACATACTTTCATCTGATCCTCTCAACACTTCATTTTTTTTCTCCTGTCTCCTCCCCTCCCTACCAACCTCCAACCTCTTGTCAAGTTTTACTCTAGAAGAGAGGAAATGAAACCTCACAGAAACTTTACCGGGGAGAGTCTAAGGACAACATGTACACGCTTGGCTGACTTATTCCATCCCAGAACTCTTCCTCTGCTCTGACAGGAAGGAGCAGGGACCCCTGTTACTCTCCAAGGCCAGGATCTCTTGTCTATGTTCTCCGGCTTCAGAAATCCCAAGACGTATGTTAGAGATGAGGACCTTGGGCCTGAGCATGGGAAGGCCTGTGTCCAACAGGGACAGAGTCTAGATTTGGATGTTGTCCCTTTCATGACCTCGCCCCCGGGTGTCACTGCTTCCTTACGACCTGAGCCAGTGATGCCCTGGCTTGAGCACATCCCAGAGCTCAGCTTGTATTTCTTACCTGCTCGGAAGAGGGCCCCCGCCGCGTAGTGCATGGCCAGTGCGTGCACAAGCTGCCGCGCAGTAGTGAAGACGGGCCCACGCTCAAACACAGAGAAGGAGAGGGGCGTGTGGTCGGAGGCAATGTACAGCTTGAGGGAGGCGTGGATGCTGACGAGCAGGTGCATCGGCTGGATCACCAGCTTGCGGAGCCGCACAGGATTCCCCAGGGCCCTGGCGTGCTGAGTCACCTGCTCGGGCAGCACCTGCTGGGCCTTGCAGGGCTGCATGGAGGGCCCTGCCAGCTTGCTGCTGGGCAGGTACGATTCGAACAGAGTTTTGATGTAGTACACGAACGTGTCTTCCACGTATAACCGGGCAGGTTTCAATTCAAAAGTGAACTCGTTAATGTCGAGGAAGGAGTTCTGGCCCTTGGTTAAGGTGACACAAAGCTTGACAAAGCAGTTTTCCTTGTACTCTCTCAAATCCATGTTGGACACAAGGAGATCCTGCATTTGGGGAAACCGGGTTGCCTCTGGTTTCTCGCCCTGGCAGACCAAGACTGCAAAGTGGAAGTTGGACTTGTTGTAGAGCTGGTTGTCCAACTGCAGGTCCCCACAGTAGACCTCAAGGCAGTGTAGCTGAAAGAAGGAGGCAGTGGGCTCCTCCCCAGGGAGGGTGCTGGCCCCGGGGGCCAAGTGCACCAAGACATTGTCCAGCGTGAGCCTCAGGAGTTCAGAGGAGGCTCTGTGCTGGGTAAGGTCATCAAACATGGCCAGGCTAAGCTGCGTGACGAACATCCTAAACATGACCGTCTTCTCTGAGGCCCTGGGGAGAAAGGGAGGGAACATGAGTGCACCTGCTTTTCTTTCCGCTTTGGTGACAGTGCCTCCTCCAACACCCGAAAGCACATGAGTGGCTCCCAAGACACAAATACAAACCCAATTTTGATTACGTCATGTTTGGACAGAGCCAGTCACACTTAAACTGTGCTGGGTAAAACTCCCAAGGAGCCCATTACAAGCTCCTGTCATGTTTCTGTATGTGTCTCCTTACCAATAATCAGATTTTTGTTCCAAATCCTGTGAGTCATGTGTGTGCATTCTGCATCCTGATTATCACAAAGTAGAACGAAGATTCTCTCAGATGAAAATGTGAAGCAAACACAAGAGGACCACACATGCACTCCCACCTCTTACCCCACTGCCCACTGACCTGTGCCAGAGCCCAGGCTCTGCGCCCCCACCCTATCCCCAACCCCGCAGGAGTGTGGTAGCACCTGCTCCAATGGGCGCTCCTCTGGCCACCAAGCCACTGTGCTCCACCTGCCCAGCGACAGTACTGTAGCATGTCTCTCTTCTAGACCATCTTCTCCTCCACTAGCAGCTTGTAGACACCGTGTTACTTCTTCTTAAAAAATATCGCTCCACTACTTCTATTCCTTAACATATCAACTCCATACACACTATGCTTTCTGTTGGAAGCTTCTCCAAGCAAGCTTTTGCTCCCCTTCAGACTAACCACATGACTTTTGTCAAAGTTATCGCGGGAGCTTGTAGTTAGCTCAACCAAAGCATAGACTTTTGGTCTGGGGGCTTAGGGGACTTTGACACGGTGCTAATTCCCTCCTCTTGGAAATGCTCCTGTCTTCTCCTTTCAGATCTTCACCTCTGGTCACATGTCCTCAGTCACTCACGGGAGTAAGACCTTTCTGTTCTCAATCAAGAGGCTTTGAAGTATCTAAAGCTAAACACTTCTTGGTTTCCTTTTGCCCATTTCCACTAACTTTCTTGGCGATTCCATTGCGTCTCATGATATCAAATGGCATTTAAATGCTGACACCCTCAACTCTATTCCTGCATATCCAACTGCTATCATGGAGCCAAACTCTGGACTTCCCCTGTTACACTCACATTTAGTCTTTGCCATCTCAGCTAAGGGCAGCTGAATCTCACCAGTTCCTACCACGGATTTTGGAGTCGTCTTTGATGCCTGTATTCTCAATCCTGATCTGATGCATCAGGGTGACCTTGTGGCCTTTTCCATGAATGTAAATTCAGACCATTTCTTGCCACCTCAACAATCTGATGTAACATCAGCCACACCAGTGTCTCTGGCATGACAATCTCCTCACAGGTTTCCCTGTTTGTTTCTCTACCATCTTTTTTAACAAATTACCTTCCAGATGTTTAAGTCACAGCTGCAGCTTCCCTGCTCAGAATGCTATGAGTTGCTCATTTTGTGGCAGTGGCCCATACAGCCCTGCACAATGTGTTTGCCATCATCCAGGCCTGATCTCCTGGGCCCCTCACACCATGTGGTAAGCAGCTCCAATGTGAAATTTCAAAATCCAGAACTTTTGCATATGGACATGATGTCACAAGTATGAAATTCCAAACCTAACCTCATATACCGACTTGCACTAAAAACACAGGACCATTAGAAAGAGTAATTTACCTTTTGGCTATGTGTATGAAACACACATAAACTTCATGTTTATTTTAAAATTATTTGTACAATCCATATACACACACACTCACTCCTATGCCCTTGTGTGTTCCCTCCATTGCCCCTAATAACTACATCAGTTGGGTTGGGCAAAGACCAGAGCCAGGAGTGGGGAATGCAATCCAGGGCTCCCTTGTGGGAGGTGGCAACCCAACAACTTGAGTCCTCACTCCTCCCAGGGTGTGCACTGGCAGGAAGCCAGTCAGGAGCTCGAGCCATAAATCACACCCAGGCTTCTCTGTGGAAGGAGGGTGTGTTAACCACCAGGTTACACAAATGCTCCTGCATTTCATGTTCAGATTTGAGTCCTAACTTCAGGATATCTCATTATGTACATATAAATACTCCAAAATTAAACAAACAATGCCAAGTCAGAAGCACTGCTGGCTGCAAGCACACCGGTTAAGGAATACTCTACCTATGGGTCCTCTTCCTTGTCCCTGCAGTGAACTACGGATGCTCTCTCAGGATGGGCTAGCCAGATCACCCACAGTCATGTCACCAGCCCTGTCTTGCTTTCAAGTCTTTACTCGAATGTTAACTCCTCAGTGAGGGTTTCTTTTACAACGATATTCTCCTTGTCCCCCAGGGCCTGACACTCCTGACCTCTCTTATTGGGTCTTGTTTTAAGCCCTGTAGACCTGCAGCATATTACTTCCTTTTTTATTTTGTCTGTGTCTGGGTCCTTGCTCTCCCATCCACTTCTGTGACTGTGAACAAAGGGCACGGTTGATGCTCTTTGCAGTCAGAGACACCTGTAGCCCAGAACAACACCCGGCTTACAGCAAGCACTTGACAAAGAGCTGCTGAATACATGAATGAAAGAAGTCCAACTACACGCATACCTATTTTCAGAATATGTGAGGGCTGCTACATAAACATTTATATTTTAGGTAAATTGCTCTGAAATACTGTGTAGGCTTGAAACTTTGTGCTATGCCTTTCAAATTTTAGTCTCTCATTTTGTAAAACTGTTATGGTTTTTTAATGAATTATTTTAAAGATTTGAGGGGCAGAGACTGGAAGAGAGACTTAAAGAGAGCGATCCCATCTTCTGTTTCACTGCCCATGTGCTTACAAGGGCCAGAGCTGGGCGGAGCCAGAGCTGGGCGGAGCCAGAGCTGGGCGGAGCCAGGGCAAGCGCTGGAGCTGGAGCCTGGAGCCACTCTCCCAGATGGGTGGCAGGAATCCAATTCCTGAGCCCTCACCGTCACCTCCTAGGCTCTGCCTGGCAGGGACCTGGGACCAGGAGCTCAAGCAGGGAATCGAACCTACATAAGTGTGGCGTGCAATGAGGGCATCTCAGTTGATAGGTTGAATGCCTGCTCTTCTCCTATTAACTTCTCACAAATACTTCTAGGCAAAAATTATATTCTATCTAACACTGAAATATTATAAATCCAAATTAATCAAGTTTAAGTTAGAGACTAGTTAGTTAACTGTATGTGAACAGCAAAGTAGCTTTTTCAAAGAACCATTTAAGCAAATGCATGAAAGTTAGTATTATTTTACATTTTCAATCTTTTTCTGACTGCAAAATGAATACTGTAATTGAAAATTAAAAAACGGAAATGAATAAACAGTCCCTTACAATCCCCACATCTATTACCATTTTGATTGTCTTTCCCCTTCATTCTTTTCAGGTACGTTTTCTAAGTGTGAATGTGTGACTCTCCCTGTTTGCATTTCTTTGATTACTTACACTTCTTCCTCGAATTCTCTGTTCATACCTTTTGTCCTTATTTTGTTTTGAATGGAGTGCCTTCACATTATTCCAATTAAATTACACGCGTTTTTACATTAAGAATATTAACCCTTTGTCTGGTTCATGCCTTTAAAACTTGATGGCAGGGCCCGGCGCTGTGGCCTAGCGGCTAAATCCTTGCCTTGAATGTGCCAGGATCCCATATGGTCACCGATTCTAATCCCGGCAGCTCCACTTCCCATCCAGCTCCCTGCCTGTGGCCTGGGAAAGCAGTTGAGGACAGCCTAATGCTTTGGGACCCTGCACCCGGAAGAGGTTCCTGGTTCCCAGCTTCGGACTGGTGCAGCACTGGCTGTTGTGCTCACTTGGGGAGTGAATCATCGGATAGAAGATCTTCCTCTCTGTCTCTCCTCTTCTCTGTATATCTGACTTTGTAATAAAAATAAATAAATCTTTAAAAAAAACTTGATGGCAACAGGTCAGGCAGGAAGTGTGGCTTTGCGGGGTGTTTTACATCAAGTACTAGACCGTCACGTGAACATGCTTTCACATGCAGTTCATGCTGCAGTAATGGTGTGATCACCTGACAGGAAGGAGTGCCATTAAAGATGGCGGACAGCTGCCTACTCTGTGCATGACTTGATGCTGATAACCACCTCCTTACAAATTATACAATAATTAGCCAAAGTTTTATTTTTGCAGGGATCCCACAGAGCAGTAAATACCATGCTTTCAGCTGTAACAGAAAGCTCCCAGGACTGCTCTCAGAAAACGACGTGGCCTACCTGTTGGTAGAGGTGACAACAGGTCCTGCTTTCCCTTCCGGGGCCACAGTGATAAAGATGGTGCCACCCTGATGCACGACGTCCACATACACATAGCCAAAGCCAGTTAAGAACACTACCTGCAAAAAAACACAACCAGAAAAACTCACAATCTGATTAAAATGAAACTCCACTACTGAAAATGCTAAAATGGCCGGCTTCAAGTGTCCAGTTCTGACTCAGTGCCACAAATACTTTATAGCCATGTGTATTGGCTATTTGGCTGACTTGAAAATGAAGAACAGGAAAGAAAGAAAGAAAGACCGATCAAATCCAGATTTTCCAATATCCAGCTGTAAGGTTCATAGAAAAAGCAAAATACTGACGGATGACGGGGCACAAGCATCTTCATTTCTCTGCTCTGTAATCGGCAAATAGTCTGTAAGGCTGGAGCCCGGCCGTGGGGCCAGCTTTATGTGCACATATGAATCTTTGAGGGGAAATCCCTACAATGCAGCACTTGAAATGTAGTGTGCAAAAACATGTGAAGGCTCTGGAGTGCTCACTTCCTGCCACCCACACCCCAGTAAGACATATCACAATCATGGAACTTGTAGTGAGAATGTTAGAGGTTGAGTTTGCTCATTTTTCCACCAAGAGAAGAGAGACTTGGACTCAAAACAAGTTCTATCTCAGGAGCCAGGTGCCAGGCCGGCTGAACAGATGTCCTTTCAGCATTAAATAGCAGTGTTGCTTAAGTGGATAAATATTTGAAAACAGAACAGAACTATGTGAAAAACAAGTCTCAGAACAGCATGTTCACAGCCAAGATTACCTGAAGAAAGTGACAAGAGCCTCCACATGCTTGGCAATGTGGATTCCGATTATTTGTAATTCCATTTTGGTCCAGAGCTGGGCTCCTTATTATTGTTTGGACAGCAACACTGCCCATCCCTGAATGCAGGCACACAGCTAGGTGTTTGTCTGACAAGTAATGGGTGAGTTCTTATTCTGAGACATGGAGGGGGCCGACTGGGCATTTCTCCTGTGCAATGGCCTCTCCTTCAGAAACCCTAACTCCCTCCAGCTTCCAGGGCCCGAGGCTGCCCTCTCTTACTCCCTGCAGCTCGGCTGTTACTTCACCCTCCTGGGGCCCAGGCCAGCTCTTCTTTTGCTGTTGCTTTTTCATTCTAAGGTTTGTGCTCCAGCCTAGGCCTTCTGTCTGCCATGCACCATTCTGTGCGCCTAGAAGTGACTCTCCTTTACAAGTCCTTTCAAACTCCTGTGACTCTCTCATATGCAATGCACAGAAGGCCTTATTCCATTCTGGAATTTTCCTGTTCCCTTCCTCAGCTTGGGACTTCCTGCTGCATTCTCTTTAATCAGATTTTGGTTTGTATTACAGTTACTTGTGTATATATCCAACTAATCACCAGACTGCAAACTTCTTTTTTTTTTTTTTTTTTGATTTTTCACAACTTTAACATTTTATGCAATACATCCAAAATATTACAGTTTTGCTTCATAAACTATATAAAAAACTATTAATGAAATAGTTGTACCAATAGTTTGGTTATTCGATACTCACACCCTTGCACTCCATTTGTACACCAAATTTTTATTGAAAATGTTTGTTCTGCATTTAGATTTCATTTCTTTGACATGTGAAATAGTAGAATCACATGCCCAAAAGACATGAAACTCATTTAAATATTTCTTAATGCCTGATTCAAGTATGCAGTTTGAGATTTAAAGTCAACGAAAGTAAGTGAAATTAAAAATTCAGTTGCTTAGAGAAACTAACCATATGCCAAGCATATAATGGCCACATCCGGCAATCAGCTAGCATATTTAAGGTCAAATCTGAATGAGTAAATGACACAATATGGTTTAACTCACTTGTTTATGTACTGAAAAGACCATATGTTTCAATCTATTGATTCACTTATTAGTTGTCCATAACAGCCCAAAACTCAACCAGGCCTCCCAATTTCTTGAATCATCACTTAGCTGCCTGCAGAGTTCTGTGCAGTCTGCATGAGCAAGAGCTGGAGCTTGGTATAAAACCCAGCCACTCCAGTACAGGACACACGTATCTTCACACATATCTTTTATTATTATTATTATTATTAATTACATTGCATTATGTGACACAGTGTTATGGGCACTGGGATTCCCCCCACCCCTCCCCGAACCCTCTCCCCATGGTGGATTTCTCCACCTTGCTGCATTACCACAGTTCAAATTCAGTTGAGATACTTTCATTGGAAGTATTTACCAAGCATAAAGTCCAGTGCCTTATTATCCTAGTGGGCTCAATGATTTCTTGGTGAGACCATCTCTGGTCTGAAGGTAAACCAGCAAAGTATCATTCCAATCAATTAAAAGCCCCGACATAACATCAACAACCATTTACAACCTTATGGCATTAATTGACATGGTATTGATTAACAGTATGTTAATAGGAAAATGCGGGTTCTTAACTACATCCTGTGACTTCTTCATAGACATTTCAATTTTTGGTTTATATTCAACCGGATTCCATACACCTCCAAATGGCTATAGATTACTATTCAGCTGTCTCGTCTATTTTTATTTTTGTATTTAGCTGTTTATAGTGTTGAAGCACGATTTTGCTGAACTTAGTTGTTTTTCGGATGAGACTGCAAACTTCTTAAGGGCAGGCAGGTTCAGATCTGCATTCTCTATGGTCATGTTTCTCAACTGGGTTATTATGCAAAAACAGCTGTTTTAACAAACTCCGTATCCCAAATTTACCTCTATTTATTCTAGGGTAAGAACTTGGCTGTGATATAATTTGGCATTCAAACATAATTAGGAGGGGTTGGGGAGGACACTGTGGCGCAAGCTGCCACCTGCAACACTGGCATGCCATGTCAGAGTGTTGGTTTGAGTCCCAGCTCTTTTGCTTCTGACCCAGCTCCCTGCTAATGCACCTGGGAAAGCACTGGAAGAGGGTGGCTCCTGCCACTCAGATATGAGACCTGGACAGAGCAGTGGCTCTTGGGTACAACCTGGATCCAGGTTCATGGCCATATGAGGAGTAAACCAGTACACATGAGGTCTCTTTCTCTCTCCCCCTCTGTCATTCTGCCTTTCAACTACATAAATATATCTCGTTCAAAGTGTAATTAATGGCTTAAAAACAACTCTGCTCATGGATGTGAAAGAAGTGGTATTCCGAAAAAGCACCACTCTTGGGCCCGGAGCAGTGGCGCAGTGGTTAAGGTCCTTGCCTTGCATGCCTGGGATCCCATTTGGGTGCCGGTTCTAATCCCTATGGCCCCGCTTCCCTTCCAGCTCCCTGCCTGTGGCCCGGGAAAGCAGTCGAGGATGGCCCAAGGCTTTGGGACCCTGCACCTGTGTGTGAGACCCAGAAGAGGCTCCTGGCTTCTGATCGGCATAGCATCAGCCATTGTGCTCACTTGGGGAGTGAATCATTGGACAGAAGATCTTCCTCTCTGTCTCTCCTCTCTGTATATCCGCCTTTCCAACAAAAATAAAATAAATCTTAAAAAAAAAAAGAAGTGGTATTCCGATTTCCACTTATATAAGTCATCTTTTTGGACGTCACACAATTTTAAGTCAACTACTCTCTTGGGCTGAAAGATGACTTGACTATTTGGCACAGGCTGATGCTGCCATCCATTTCCCCCCGTTTCTATGACTGTCCATCACCTCAGTGTATAACCTGGGCTTCTGGCAGACAGAGCTGAAAGCCAGAACCACTGTCCCTCATTCCTAATCATAAAGATGAAGCAAACTTAAGTTTCTGTTAACCACCTGAAAGACTTCTGAAAGTGAGAAAATTAACCTGAACCTTTTAGTGCTTTTCCTGGTCAAAGACCTGGACTCTAAAAGGATGTTTTTTTTTGGCCGGATGTCCATTCTACTCACTGGCAGAAATGGCAGAAACACAGGCCATAGGCCTTGTAGCCAATCATATACAGGGAAACAATACACAATTTGGCCTTTTTTTGTACAGTGGCAGAGATAAGGGAGTTGGGGAATGAAGTGACAGAGGAATCAGACACCTGTAGCCTGGTACCCAGAACTTTAAAGTACATCCTTGTTTTGGTCTGATAGCTTAACTAGTCACTCAACCCAATCTTCAAGAAATATGCCAAAGAGTAGGAAGAATCAGTAGTCCCTGTAATGATGCAAGGAAGACACAAATGTACAAGTCACTCACAGCCCCATTGGGTGAAAAAGCCAAGTAATCAGATAATGAGGTACCTTGCAGTCTCAGAGCGGAGGTGTAGGGAATGTTACCAGACTGAGGGATGGTTTGTTATAACGGGGCAGACACAAGATGAGTAAAGGAGCCTTCACCAGCGTGGGTCCCTGAGGGGCCATGTAGGACAGAACCACCTAAGGAGAAACACTGGGCGTGTAGCATGAATAGGAAATAAATGCTATATCCTAACTGCCATTACAACAGCTCATACTACTGACATAATATTTGCAACAGAACAGGATTCTAGCAGAAATCTAAAACATGGGACCCTGGCTTACTGACCAGGTAGATGAGATCTAGAAACAAAAATCATGTGTGTTGGTTGAAGCAGAAGGGAAAGTCACATGAGACCGTTGGTCATGTTATAAATAAAAGTGAAAGTGAGTAGAAACAGTCCATTAATGTAGGGCATTTCACAACGTCAGAAACGGTTCTTGCACTTGCTATGATTTGAATGCCTACGTTCCCTCACATTCACATGCTGAAATCGTAATCCTCAAGGTGATGGTATTAGGAGGTAGGAACCTTAGGGAAGCAATGAGTAACCATTTAAAACGAGGCCCACGGAAGCCTCTCCCTCCTCCTGCTAGGCAAGATTTTAGGGAAAAGATGGTTGTCGTTGAGCCAGAAACTGGGCCCTCAAGGGACACTGAGACTGGTGAACTTCCTAGCCCCAAAGCTGAACTAGACCCAGAAATGAACTGCTGTTTATGAGCACCAACTCCATAGCATGTTGTTTTGACACCCAAACAGCAAGGTGTTAAAATAAAAAGGCCTTTGAACATTAGGCAGATTAATATTCAGCTTAATCCTGACTAGGGATTCCACTCATTGTCCATGCTTTTAACTATGAAAGCCACTTTAGCAAAAAATTTAAACAAT